TAAAATAAAATTTCAGAAGCGATTTCTGAAGCTTATCCTTAATTCAATTGTAAGATGAAAGCCATCTTTCTGTTGTTGCTGTTTTTAAATGTAAAAAATAATAGCTCTGGTGCTTGCTGGAAAAATTTTGTTGAATTTTTGAAAAAAGAATTTAACATAAGTAATTTATAATATTTTTTGCATGTTTTGACTTAACGGAAAATTCTTCATATAATTTGCTTTGTTTCATCTCTGATGCTGATAAAGATGCCGTAAGCGTCTTACGTATCTAAATCCGGCTTAAACTCATCATATAAATAAGATTGCGTTTTTTAAAATTGATAATGATTGTGATTACCTATAAATTGGGGTCTGATTCATCATATAAGGAGAAATTTTTTTTAACATTAATGATTGTTATCATAATTAATCATCATCATCATTAATGATTCTGACGTTTAAATATAAATTAGGGTCTGGCACATACTAGAAGTGACGTTGACCTTTTAAAAAATTAACGATGATGATTGTAATGTGTATATATAAGTATGGGTCAGACACATCATATAAATAAAGTAACATTTAAGTTATTAAATATTTTCTATTTTCGCGCCATTCTTATTTTTTTACCTTATAAATGTAATAATAAATTAAACTTGTAATCTATTTCCGAATTCATTTTTCATTTTGATATCATTTTTTTTTTCATTTGATTCCTTTTTCATGTTCATTTTTAATTTGAAATCTATTTCAAAATTAATTCATTCAATTCATTTTTTTGAAGTTATAGTTAAATATAAAACGAAACAAAAGTAATAACACTGTTACATTTTTTTCCTGTCTGAAGATAACAGCTTTATCTTTGGCATACATTTAGTTCTTTGTTGACATCTGCGCGTGCAGCAAAACTTAAAAAACGAGATGACAAGTCACTGTAAAATTAAAACACCAACTATCTCAAGACTCGAATGCCATTTATCTCTTAACTTCAGGACATTCGAAAGATCAGAAGTGCTTCTTTACACCCCGAAAAAAACAAAAAAAGAGAAAAAGAAACGAAGCAACAAAAGGAAATTTTCCAAACTCTCTTCCTGTATCAGCTAAAAAACATCCACTTATCACCAACTACAATCTGAAACAAATTAGTAAGCAGACCCGGCGAAATGTAAACATTTAATCTCAGTTAGTAACTTAATACCAAGAATATAAATTATTTGTCGCACAAGAACTGGGAAGAGGTTAATGCAAAATGCAAAATGCAAAAGCAAAAAAAATTACAAAGCCTTAATTACCGTTATTCCAGATCGTTGCTTCCGAAAGTGGAGGGTGTCAAAAATTTTACCTTTTCGATAACATTGATTAACTAAAAACAATTTTTTCCTTCCTTTCTTTCCTTCCCTTGTAAATCTTTTCGTATTTAACGAGAAGTAAAAGAAAAAAATTAAAAATAATTTCAGCATAATTGAAGTAAAATCTTTATTTCTATTTAATGAACCATTTTAGACGATAATTCAGATGGAATTACACCAGCTGCTGTCTCGAAGACAAGTAGTTAATACAATCAAAGCAGATTCTTTTCAATGTCTTCTTTTTTTTTGTTAATGTTTGATAATTTTAAAAAATATTTGTTTAAAACAGTGGATTAAATTTGAAGATGCCTTAATTGACTTAGAAACATTTGGTAGCAGCGTCTTTGTCTTTGAAGAGTTGTTGCAGTTTTTTTTCCAATTATTCGTTAAAAATTCAATTACCGATAAAGAGATGATACTTCATTAGTTTCATTAATTATATCATTATTAATTCTTTATTCATCCTCTAAATTGTTTTTTTTTTCAAGTGAAACGAAATAATTCATTCAAGATGAATTCCATAGTCATTTAATAAATATATAATAACCTATTTACTGAATTAAAATAACGTTTCAGAAGTGATTTTTCAAAGGCTTATCCTTAATTCTATTTTAAGATGAAAGTCTTTAGCTGTCGCTGTTTTAAGTGTAAAAAAATCACTGGTGCTTAAAAATTTTGTAGAATTTCAGAAAAAAAGGATTTAACATAAGTAATTTATAATATTTTTTTTTTCGTACGTTTTTACTTAACAGCAAATTCTTGCTATAATTCGCGTCTTTTTGTCGCTAATGCTGATAAAAATATCTCGAGCGCTCATCATGCAAAAAAAAAAAAAAAAAAGATTTTTTTCCTTTTTTTTTTATCAATCACTAAATATTGATGTCGTACGCATCTAAATCAGACATACACTTATCATAAGTAGAATTGCTTTTTTAACATTAATGGGCATGATTGAGATGACATATAAATTAGGATCAGACTCATTTTATAAGCAGAACTTTTTTTAATTTTATTGATTGTTATCATCATTTATTACTATTAATCATCATCATTAATGACTATTAATTATCATCATTAATGATTGTGACGTTTAAATATAAATTAGGGTCAGACACATCCTAGAAGCAATGTTGACTTTTTTAACATCAATGATGATGATTGTAATGTGTACATATAAGGAAGGGTCAGACTCATCATATAAACAAAGTTTCCTTTTAAGTTATTAAATATTTCATTTTTCGCGCCGTTCTTATTATTTTACCTTATAAAAGTAAACTTGGACTCTATTTCAAAATTCATTTTTTATTTTGATATCATTTTTTTTTTCATTTGATTCATTTTTCATATTCATTTTCAGTTTGAAATCTTTTTTAAAATTAATTAATTCAATTCATTTCTTTTTTTTTTTTTGAAGTTATAGTTAAATAAAAACGAAACAAAAGTAAAACACTGTTACTTTTTTTTTCTCCTGTCTAAAAAGTAATAATAAATTAAACTTGAAATCTATTTCCAAATTCGTTTTTCATTTTGATGTCAATTTTTTTTTCATTTGATTCATTTTTCATATTCATTTTCAATTCGAAATCTATTTCAAAATTAATTAATTCAACTCATTTTTTTGATGTTATAGTTAAATATAAAACGTAACAAAAGTAATAACACTGTTAACTTTTTTTTTCCTGTCTGAAGATAACAGCTTTATCTTTGGCATACATTTAGTTCTTTGCTGACATCTGCGCGTGCAGCAAAACTTAAAAAACGAGATGACAAGTCACTGTAAAATTAAAACACCAACTATCTCCAGACTCGAATCCCATTTATCTCTTAACTTCAGGACATTCGAAAGATCAGAAGTGCTTCTTTACACCCCGAACAAAACAAAAAAAGAGAAAAAGAAAAGAAACAACAATAGGAAATTTTCCAAACTCTTCCTGTATCAGTTAAAAAACATCCACCTATCACCGACTACAATCTGAAACAAATTAGTACGCAGACCCGGCGAAATGTAAACATTTAATCTCAGTTAGTAACTTAATACCAAGAATATAAATTATTAGCCGGACAAGAACTGGGAGGAGGTTAATACAAAATGCAAAGGCAAAGGAAAAAAAAACTTACAAAGCCTTAATTACCGTTATTCCAGATCGTTGCTTCCGAAAGTGGAGGGTGTCAAAAATTTTACCTTTTCGATAACATTGATTAAACTGTAAACAATTTTTTCCCTTTTTTTCTTTCTTCTCTTTTAAATCTTTTCGTATTTAACGAGAAGTAAAAGAAAAAAAATTGAAAAGAATTTCAGCATAATTGAAGTAAAATCTTTATTTCTATTTAATGAACCATTTTAGACGATAATTCAGATGGAATTACACCAGCTGCTGTCTCGAAGACAAGTAGTTAATACAATCAAAGCAGATTCTTTTCAATGTCTTCTTTTTTTTGTTAATGTTTGATAATTTTAAAAAATATTTGTTTAAAACAGTGGATTAAATTTGAAGATGCCTTAATTGACTTAGAAACATTTGGTAGCAGCGTCTTTGTCTTTGAAGAGTTGTTGCAGTTTTTCCCAATTATTCGTTAAAAATTCAATTAGCGATAAAGAGATGATACTTCATTCGTTTCATTAATTATATTATTATTAATTCTTTATTCATCCTCTAAATTGTGTTTTTTTCAAATGGAACGTAATAATTCATTCAAGGCGATGAATTCCATAGTCATTTATTAAATATGTAATAATTTATTTACTGATTTAAAATAAAAATTTCAGGAGCGATTTCAAAAGCTTATGCGTAATTCAATTTTAAGATGAAAGCCATCTTCCGTTGCTGCTGTGTTAAATGTAAAAAAAAATCGCCGATGTTTAAAAATGTCTGCCGAATTTTAGAAAAAAAAAAGGATTTAACATAAGTAATTTATAATATTTTTTCCTACATTTTGACTTGATATAATTTGTTTTTTTGTTTTTCATCGTTAATGCTGATGAAGATGCCGTGAGCGCTCATCATGCAAAAAAAAAGGTTTGTTCCCTTTTTATCACTGACGAAATACTGATGTCATATCCACATCTAATTCAGGCTCAAATTCATCACATAAATAGAATTGCTTTTTAACATTAATAATGATGATTGTGATTTCATATGAATTAGGGTAAATGAAGTAAAGGCCAACTTCAATTCTCAAAAGTCAAACGCGGGACTCCAAGACATTCATCATGTTAAATGGACGCACAGACATTGATGTGTGATTGCTGTGATGCAATAGGGATGAGATCTTGGATTCCAATAAATTACCATAATGGTCTGTCTTTTAGAGTGGGCATATATGACAGAAAGACAGGAAGTGGTCATATATTTATTTAACTATGAGTTTTCTAAAGAAAAATGTTGTTTGTTTGTTGTTTCTTATCCCACTTGGCTGGCCACGAGCCTATACGTACTCATGATTGAAGGGAAAGGAAGCAGCTTCTGTTGTGATGGAGCACCCGTAGGTAGAAGTCTGACTTTGGCTCCGTGACGCTCTTACAGTCGTAGGAGACCGGGGCCTACGCCTTCAAATGGATTCCGAACCACTGCAAACATCCATGGCACAGCCGGGATTCGAACCCGAAACCTGTGGCACCGAGCGCCAGAGCGCTAGACACTCGGCCATTCAGGTCCCAAATTTGTGAATGCCAACGGCACGCAGTGTTCCCAGGTGGTCACCCACCCAAGTACTGACCGCGCCCAATGATGCTTGACTTCGGTGATCTAACGAGAACCGGTATATTCAGCATGGTAACGAAAAAATAGACACAAGAAATGTAATTTTGTTTAAAACTCTGATCGCTTTGTATGAAATATAATAAAATGCTACAAAAAGTTCATATGAACGAATGTTTTATGAACAATAATTTTTACGGGGATTTATTAATAAAATATAAATGCTAAATATTTAGAAAAATTAAATTTACACTTATTGACAGCTAAAAAAAATGAACATTTTCTTTTTATCGTTATAGGATAGTAGACCTTTTTCTCCCTTCATGCCAACAGCATAGAGCAGTAATAACCAATAGTAAAGATTGTTGACAAAATTCGCCAAGCTTCATGCCAACAGCATAGAGTAGTAATAACCAATAGTAAAGATTGTTGACAAAATTCGCCAAGCTATCAGTGCATACAATAAACTTATATGCCTGAAACCAATTCTAAATGAGTGCAGCGCAATATAAGTTAAGTTTTGCTCTGTATACAAAGTGACCAGTTCTGTACAAATGAATAGCAGAGTGATTATGAAGGTGACCTGAAAACACGTCATTACTAGTAGTGGACAATGGTAATTGTAAAAGTAACGTGACGTGTGAGTTCACATGAGGATTATGTTTGCCCCAAACTAGCAACCCCGATAAATCCTCCATTTTACGAATTCTGTATATTTGGAATATTCCATAAGTTGACGGAAAGGATTGTGTCTCGTTTCATTTCCTAACAATCTGCACTTGAGATTGCCTTGCATTCAGGATTTAAAAATTCATTCCACCCTCCAAACATTGATGATTACTCATTTCAGCTATTTATTTTTTATTATTATTTATTATTCTCCAACTATATAAAACAAGATATATACACTGAATTGAACAATATATATACAAGATATATACACTGAAGTGACAAAAGTCATGGGATAGCAATATGCAAATTTTCAGATGGCAGTAGCATCGCGTAGAACAGGTATAAATTTCATTTATGTTCAAGTTATTCATGTAAAGAGGTTTTGACATGATGATGACCGCACGACGGGAATTAACAGACTTTGAACGCGGAATGTTAGTTGGAGCTAGACGCATGGGTCATACCATTTCGGAAATCGTTAGGGAATTCAACATTCCCAGATCCACTGTGTCAAGAGTGTGCCGAGAGTATGAAATTTCAGGCATAACATCCCACCATGGACAGCGCAGTGGTCGACCGCCTGCACTTAACGACCGAGACAGGCGACGTCTGCAAAGAGTCGTAAATTCTAACAGACAAGCAACACTGCGTCAAATAACCGCAGAAATCAATGTGGGACGTACAAGGGACCTGTCTGTTAGAACTGTAGGAGAAATTTGGCTTTCTTGGGCTATTCCAGCAGAAGACCGACTCGAGTGCCTTTACTGACAGAACGACATCGCTTGCAGCGACTCTCGTGGGCACGTGAGCATATCGGTTGGTCTCTAGATGAATGGAAAACCGTGGCCTGGTCCGATGAGTCACGATTTCAGTTGGTAAGAGCTGATGGTAGGGTTCGAGTGTGGCGCAGACCCCACCAAGCCATGGACCCAAGCTGTCAGCAAGGCACTGTTTAAGCTGGTGGTGGCTCCGTAATGGTGTGGGCTGTTTTTTCAGGGTATGGACTTGGTCCTCTGGTGCGACTGGACCGAACATTGACTGGAAATGCTTATGTTCAGCTACTTGGAGATCACTTGCAACCATTCATGGACTTCATGTACCCAAACAACGATGGGATTTTTATGGATGACAATGCGCCATGTCACCGGGCCACAACTGTTCGCGATTGGTTTGAAGAACATTCTGGACAATTCCAACGAATGATCTGGCCACCTAGATCGCCCGACATGAATCCCATCGAGCATTTATGGGACATCATCGAGAGGTCCGTTCGTGCCCAAAATCCTGCACCATCAACGCTTTCACAATTATGGACGTCTATCGAGACAGCATGGCTCAATATTCCTGCAGAAGACTTCCAACGACTTGTTGAGTCCATGCCACGCCGAGTTGCTGCACTTCGCCGGGCGAAAGGAGGGCCGACACGATATTAAGAGGTATCCCATGACTTTTGTCACTTCAGTGTATAGGGAGAGTTTGAGCTAATAGAAAGAATTGAAAAAGGAAGAAATTCATCGAGTTGTTTGAGTGAAAGGAAAATTCTGAAAATTACACATATCTTTAAGTAGCCTGTTCTCCTTTCTTGGTGTTTCTTGCTGTTAAAGTATTTGTCTCACCTTCTGTTCAGTAATTCATAATACGCAAATTTTCTTAAATTTTGAACGTAAGTGTTGAAATTAAATGTAATTACTTACTCTTAATTTAATTACAAAAAGAGAATATACTTCGAAGTGTCTTGGTTACTTGGTTAGTAATGTGTTTAAGCTATACTCAATATCATGCCATGTATTAACATGGAATTCCAAGGGCAAATATGAAAAAAGGCTATTTGTAGAAATCTCTCCAAAATAACTCAACTGGATATTTTTCTAGATATTAGATGGATAGATTAGATATTTATTTAATTTTATATGAAGTATTGTGTTAATAGAAATTGCTATTATTTTCACATCCAATCCATTATATGGCATGAAATTCATTACTACTTGGAAATAGTATGAAACCATATGATCTCAGAATGAATTTTATAAGTTATTACAGTTGCATTATAAATTAGTAAACGTGTTTTTTAGATGCATGTAAATTATTAAATGTATTTTGCAGTTACATTTCAAATTAGTGCTTTCATTTTAATGTAATATTATATATTAGTAAATTCAAAAATCTAGTAAATCCATTATAAATTAGTAAATTCAAAAATTAGTATTCATTTTGATGAAATATAAATATTTTGCAGTTGTATTATAAATTAGTAGTTGAATTTCACTATTACATTGTAAATTAGTAAAGGTATTTTACAGTTCATTGTAAATTAGTAAAGGTATTTTACAGTTCATTGTAAATTAGTAAAGGTATTTTAGAGTTACGTGGTAAATTAGTAGTTAGAATTTTAATTATATTGCAAATTAGTATTTTTATTTTACTGTTTCATTGTAAATTAATGTCAATAACAGTTACATTTTTAATCTTTATTTCTATTCTTTTGTAATTTGTAAATCAAACATAATATTTCATTGCATAATTTATTATTATAGTATTAAAGTACTTTGCATAAAAAAAAAAATCATTGAATACTTAATATTTTTTTTAATTTGAACTGAATTTTTCATTGAAATTTTATTCATTAAATTATCATTTATGTCCTTTTCTATACATTGTAGCATTTAGTAATTTAACTTGTTGAAATATGTTTACATAATAACATTAAAATACTTTTAAAGATATATTTTTTTCATTTTCTTTGCTACAAATTATATAAAAATAATGAACAGCAAAAAATTATTAATTTACTTTTAGATTTAAAGTTTCAAAAAATATATTAATTGAGCTTTTTAAAAAAATGCAAAAACTCGTCGAAATTAAATTTAAAACAATCTTAAAAAATCCACTTAAGCATTTTTAAGAAAACTTTCATTAGCTATTATTAAACTATTATTTTTATGTGGACGGCAATCAAATGAACAGGTTAGCTGAACGCTTAGTAATTAAACTTTTAATATTTGGTTAAACCGAAGATTAGAATCTTTAAAAATAAAATAAAACCTCTTCTTTGAAATATATAATTGCAGTTTTATGTGTTTTAATTCACTTTATGAATTACTTTTTTTAATTTGTTCAACTAAAATGTTTCCAGTAAAAAAAAATTCAATTAAAGTAAGTCCGTTTCTTTCCAAAAAAGAAATTAACGCTGTAGTAAAATTCACAGAAAAAATTATTATGTTTTATTTAACTAGGCTAAGAACTTTTATCACTAAAATTTTATTAGATAAAAAATAGTTTAAAAAATATTTATAAAATAAATACTTATAAAAATATGAAAATATTTATAAAATTAATTCATGTATTAATAATAAATTTTTCAACATTTATTGTTGAAAGATTTATAATATAACTTTAATATAGTATTAATATATATGAAATATTAGGAAAACATTTGAAACAATATATATATATATATACATAAACCAATATTAAGAAAAGCAATATATGTATATATATAAATATACATATATTCACATATATATTTGTTTTTCATTATATGGTTTCAAATATTTTCCTAATATTTCATATATATTTCTATAATATTAAAATTATATTATATTATTTATATATATATATATATATATATATATATATATATACTGTATTGGACTCTCGAAATTAATTTAAAACCATACCAGCGATGACGAACCAAAAATTATATAGCTGTGCCTGTAAATAAATCTGTAGGGTGAAAAAATTTTCGTGTGGGTGAGATTGACTATAGATAAAATATCATCAGTATTGTAATATTTTATTTTCATTGATGACAGACTTTATGTAGAATAATACTTCCTTGGGGTATTATTTCCGTCAAAATCATTTTAATAGAAATATATGTAGAATAAACACAACCTTATTAAAAAGTAACATAAAAAATTTTTATTTTTTGTGTAGGCCACTAAACATAAAGTTTTTAATGAAAGTAAATGTTTGATTTAAAACTAAAAATTTCTTAAATAAAAACTAGAGACTCTCAATATAAGCACATTAATAACTTATTTATTAAAACCAATATAAATAAATAAAAAAATATTTTGTAAAGAATTTGACAGAAGATTCAATTCTCATTCGAATACTTCAACATTTACGAGTTCTTCTATACGAGTATCTCTACAATTATCTTTTTCAATATTTCATGTTTTTTTTCTGTTGGGCCACAAATATAAGCTACCCCTCTTCAGAAGTCATTTATAACAACATTTTTCTTGTGAATGTAGCATTTGTAAGTTCATATCGTAGTGAAAATTGATCATTGCAACAAAACACTTACTCTCTTAACAGTCAAACCGTCAAGTATACTAAATATGCTCATTAATTTTAAAACAAAATTTATTTTATGAATCAGGATTTCATATAAAATGATT